GCCCTTAGAAACTTATCATGCCTGGAATCAAATTCACTCTCATGGCTCACATTTCATCCAAACAATACCATTGCTTTCTAATGGATTCAGACTCAGAGAGATCCTATAGGACAGAAGAGAACTGTCTCAGAGAGTGTACAAGGTTTCCATCTTTCCAGGGATGGACTGCCACGTCTTTCTCCCATGGATCTGCTGTTGGTTCACATTACTAGTCATTTCTATCACTGAGGCCATATTTTCCAACTACTGGTGATTCTTCTTTGTTTCCAACTTTTGCATTGCATCACCAGTAATAATCAACACATCTTGATCGCATGTTCCATCAATTTCAGACTGCAAAGTTTGGTAAAAATCTTCCATTATCCTCATCTTTGACTTTGGTAGTTGGTGCATAAATAATTTGTCCTCCTTGTAGGCATATCTTATCACAACAACATTGTACTTCAGGATAGATCTTGAACCATTTTTTTTCTGACAATGAATGCCACACCATTCCTCTTCAATTTGTCATTCCCAGCATAGTAGATTATATGGCTGTCTTTTCAAAATGGCCAAGACCAGTCCATATCAGCTCACAAATGCCTAGGATATAAATATTTATGCATTCCATTTAATTTTTGAAAACTTCCAATTTTCCTAGATTTATACTTCATACATTCTATATTCTGATTATTAATTCATATTTATGAGTGTTTCTTCCCATTTTCAGTTGTGCCACATCAACAAATGGAGGTCTCGAAAGCTTTACTCCATCCACACCATTAAGGTTGACTGTACTTCGAGGAGGCAGCTCTTCCCAGTCATAGTTTGAGTGCCTTACAAACTTCCAAACTCATCTTCAAGCCCTATATCAGTGTTTCAGGGCTATTCATAAGCTTTCAGTAATAGACAATGCTTCACTGCTGTTCATAAGGTTTTCACTGTCCAGTTCTTTGAGAAGTTTGGCCCCTTCCTTCTTCTGAGTCTGTCTTAGTCTGGAAGCTCTACTGAAACCTGTCCACCATGGGTAACCCAGCTGTATTAGAAATACCAGTGGCATAGCCTCCAGCCTCAATGCAACACTCAAGTCACCACAGTATGACAAACTGACAAATGAGTAGTATACTCTTTAAGATACCAAATAAAAACTCACTGCTGTGGAGTCGAACCTGACTCATAGAGGCCCCTCCTTGGGTTCCCCAGACAGTATCACTATGGAAGTAGATTGCCCAACCTTCCTTTTGCGGACTGGCGGGTGTATGATGCTATGATGATGATACGTGTTAAAGATATCGTGTACAAATGAGTGAATAAAATGTGTCTGTAGTTATTAATGAATAGCAATACAATGACAAAATGTATCACCACTGCCAGTTAAGAAACAAAGCATCATCATCATCATAGCATCCACTTGAACAGTCTCCCAATGACATCACACTCCACGTCCCCAGTGATAATTGCTATCCTGTATTTATCATTTCTTTGGTATTTTTTTTTTAATCAGGTGACTCCTATGAAATTGCTAAGATTGGAGAATATTTGTCCTAATACTGGCATTTTTGTAGGATTTGACCGCATCTTTTTACTTCGCATGTATGCATCTCTGTATAATTAAATAAATTTGACTCTTTTTGAACTTGCTGGAAGTTTAATCATTTTTCTTTTTTTTATTTCACCTGTGATAAAACACACATGATATAAATTACCATTGTAAGCATTTTGAAAATTACAATTCAGTAGCATTAAGTACATTCTCAGTGTTGCACAACCATCACCACTATCTGGCTCCAGAATTTTTTCATCATTCAAAAAGGAAACCTCAAACCTATTAATCAGTCATTCCCAATCCTTACTCTCCCCAGCCCTAGCAATTTCTTATCGATAAGTGATAAACATGTGCTTTCAGTCTCCATTGTTGTTGCTGTTGTTATGTGCCGTCGAGTCGGACCCGACTCATAGCAACACCTCCTTGGGTTTCCAAGGTGGTATCACTATGGAAGTAGATTGCCCAACCTTCCTTCCAAGGAGTGGCTGGTGGGTTTGAACTACAGGGCCTCTGGTTAGCAGTCAAGTGCCTCAGGCACTATGCTACCAGAGCTCCTAATATATCTGTCTCTATAGATTTAGCAAATCTAATATCCCATGTAAATAACATGTTACACTTGTGGAATTTTGCCTCTGGCTTCATTTATTTAGCATAGTGTCTTCAAGGCTCATTGATGTTATAGCATATATCAGTACTTCATTCCATTGTATGCTTGCATATACCATTGTATGGTTTTACCGCATATATTTATCCATTCATCTGTTCATGGCCATGTGATTTGTTTTTACTTTTTAGCTATTATGTGTACCCTGCTGTAAATATTTCCATACAAGTCTATGCGTGGACATGGGGTTTTCATATCTCTTAGATATTTACTTAGTAGTGGAATTGTGGTGTCAAATAGTAACTCTATATTAATCCACTTGAGAAACTGCCAGATTACTTTCCGAAGTTGATATACCACTTTTCATTCCCAAAAGAATTATATGAGGTTTCCAATTTCTTTGCAACCTTGCCAACACCATTTGTTGTCACTTAGTATTATTATAAGGTCCCTTGGTGGAACAATTTGTTCATGATTACTAAACAAAAAGTTGGTGGTGCAAGCCCACCAAGTGGCACTACAGGAGAAAGAAGTGGTAATTTGCTTCCATAAAGATGAAAGCCAAGGAAACCCTGTGGCCATACAAGTGCGTGTGATGTGGTATCTCACTGTGGTTTTAATTTGCATTTGCCTGAGGATTAATGATGTTGGGCATCATTTCGAGTGCTTTTTGGTCACTTGTGTATTTTCTTTGGAAAAACATCTCTTCAAGTCCTTTTCTCATATAATAATAGAGTTTATTTTTTGCTGTTGAATTTTAGAAGTTCATTACTTATTCTGAATATTAAACTTTTATCAGATATACGAGCTGTAAATAT